CCACTCACTTCTTCTCCCCGTCTTTCTACCTCTCCTTTCTTCTCCGTCTACCCTCTTCCTCCTCCTTCTCCCTTTTCCACCCATCCATTCTCCCTCTACTACTTCTCCCTCAATTTATCCCTCCTGCTCCGTCTCCCCATCATTCTCCTTCTCCAACCCTGCACTCACCTCCCTCTTCCTTCTGGCGTGTGTGTGTGTGTGTGTCCTTCCCTCTCCTACTGACTAAACACTTCCAAATTAATCTCCCCCGTCCCCCCGTCAGCCCAGGAATACGAATGGTCCTTGGGGTAGTTATTTTATTTGTGTCTATCCTTGAAGCAGCAGGAATGGCAGGACACTTTTGTTTCGACTCTGAACTGATATCCTCCCCCCGTCACTCTTTTACTACGAGGCTTGTTTAAAACTGCTGAGTGTAAGAGATTTTCCAAGTTGAGACGGCGTGTGTGTGTGTGTGTGTGTGTGTGTGTGTGGCTAAAAGAAGGAGGAGATGGGGGGTAGGATGAGGTAGAGGAGGAAGAGGTAGGGGATGAAGGAAGGAGGAGGAGGAGGAGAAGCCAGAGAAGGAAGAGGTAGGGGATGAGGGGAGGAGGTAGAGAAGCAAGAGAAGGGAGAGATAAGGGAGATTGCCTGGGTGATAAACATCATCTCTTTAACTCAGGAGGTTCATAATCTACTGTCCGTGAAAACAATAGAAACTTATGACCAACGACGGAAAAAAAATAAAGACGTCCATTTTCTCTTCTTTTATAAAACGAAAACATAAATTTCTTTCATATATAAAAAAAAAATCCAAAGAAGAATATTTATTTACTTTAACGATACAGATCTTTTTTTTTCTATGACGTCACTCGAGGAAGAAACAAAACAAAAGAAAACTAAACAAAACAGATAATATTTCCTCCTCTTCCTTCTACTTCTCACTCCTACCCCTCCTTCTATCTTTCCTTTTTACTCCTCCTTCTACCTTTCCCTCTCACCCCTTCTGCTCCTCTTTCTCTTTCTACCCCTTCTTATTCCTTCTACTTCTCCATCTCCTCCTTCACCCTTTCCTTCCCACGCCATCCCACTTCTTTTACCTCTCCATCGATCTGTGTATCTCTCCCTCCTTCTCCTTCTCCTCCTTCTATTCCCCCCTCCCTCTATTCCTCCCCCCTTCTCTTCCCTCTATTCCTCCCCTCTTCTCCTCCCTCTCCTTCTCCTCCCCTCTACCCCTCTCCTCTCCCTCTACTCCCCTTCTCCTCTCCTCTTCTTCTCCTCCCCTTACCCCCTCTCCTCCCCTCTATCCCTTTCCTCCCTCTACCCTTCTCCCTCCCTCTATTCCTCTCCCCATCTTCTTCCCAAAACTGAAAATAATCTAGAGTCAAAATATACAGTTATACAGCACAAACAAAATGACAGAACCAGACAGACAGACAGACAGACATCCTGGCGCGGATAACATCTAAAAGGTTACAGGACAATTATCATCTAAACGACTGAACATCAATTTAAAAGATCTTACCAATGGTGTTATTTCACCTTTGATCAGCTTGGTATAGAGAGAGAGAGAGAAAACGCAATCTAGTTCAGAAGTAAGATTAAAACAGTCACACACACACACACACACACACATACACACACACACAGATTCAAGATATCTTCCAAAACACACCTACTGGGTAGAGATAAGGTTACTGGTTTAGTTTACAGACAAATACTTCGCAGGTTGTTACTTGCCGATTCATTTGCAAGCTGTTACTTTACAATGTATAAATAAGCCGCTTTAATCTTCAGGTGTAGATGAAACCATGTTAAAAATGATGATGTTCCCAGGAGAATATTTTGTTGTTTTATACATCAGGCAACTATTTCCTTCCCCCTTTTCCCCCTATCCTCTCCTCTCCTTCCCCCCTTCTCTGGTCTCTATTTTCTAATGCTCACCTTTCACTCCACTCTATATTCTTTAAACTTTTCACCTCCCTATTTCTCTCACCTTTTCCCCTTCTTCTCATTTTCTCATTTCTCTCTATTTTCCTCATTTCTCCCCCTTTCTCTCCATTCTTCTCATTTATCCCGCTTTCTTCCCATTTTCCTCACCCCTCCCCCTCCTATTATTGTCTATTTACTCTGTACCATCCCCTCTCCCCCTCCTATCCTCTCCCCTCATCTACGAACTTTAGGCCGTCTCCCTTTCCCCGATTCTCCATATTTCCCCTCCCTCCCCATCCCCTCCCTTATTCTATTCCCTCTCCCTCCCCATTATCTCCCCTCCCCTCCCTTCCACACCCATCTACTTACTCTTAAACTCTTGAGAAACCCCCTTATCTTAACTCTCATTTTACATAAAACTTTTAATATGAAAAATACTCAACAAGCAACAACAACCAGTAGGCCTACATATACGCCACGCCTCGCCTCAACTTGCCTCGCCTCGCCCCACTGTCAGCCCTCTTTCTTCGCCTCACTTTCAGCTTTTGCCTCGCCTCACTGTCAGTTATCTTGGTTTGCCTTACTGCCAGTTTTTTTCTATCTCCTCACTACGAGCTCTTGCCTCGCCTCAGTGTCAGCTCTCTTTCTTCGCCTCACTTTCAGCTCTTGCCTCGCCTCAGTGTCAGCTTTCTTTCTTCGCCTCACTGCTAGCTTTTGCCTTGCCTCACTGTCAGGTCTTGCTTCGCTCCACTTCTAGTGCTTAATTCGCTTCACTGTCAGCTCTTGCCTAACTTCACTGTCAGCTATTGCCTCGCCTCAACTCCAGCTCTTAACTCTTATTTCACAACTTTACTTTAGCTTCTCAACCAGACTAAATTTATTAGGAAATTTTACTCCGCTTCGGGGTACATGATGCACCAGCAGCCAGTTGGGAGGAAAATAATTAAAGACTCTGGTTTTTGTTGGAGCAAAATTAACCAACGTATTCGTAACTCTTGAACCGCAAAAAAAAAAGTATTAGTCTAAAGTGAATAGAATCTTTAGTATCATCTCGGTAAGATTGCCCTGTCCCCCCCCCCTCCCCCCCCTCAAAAAAGTTAAAAAAATAATCTGTCAAATGGAAGATGAGTTAATACACGGAAAATATAAAATTAACAGACAGACAGACAGACAGACAAGACAGACAGTGACATGCCATAATACATCAAGCCTCCGAGAAAATAAAAACTTAACTCATTTTAAAAGACACAGTGGAAAGTGGAGACAGCCATCCAACCAGTGACTCCGTTGACAGTCTGTGTTTAAGCATCCGTGAACCGCCTCTTAAAACCTCGTGGAAGTCAACTACAGTGTTATACTTTTGTGTCCCTTCAGTTAAGACACTGTCCTTCTCATACACTGTCCTCCTCATACACTGTCCTCCTCATACACTGTCCTCCTCATACACTGTCCTCCTCATACACTGTCCTCCTCATACACTGTCCTCCTCATACACTGTCCTCCTCATACACTGTCCTCCTCATACACTGTCCTCCTCATACACTGTCCTCCTCATACACTGTCCTTCTCATATACTGTCCTCCTCATACACTGTCCTCCTCATATACTGTCCTCCTCATACACTGTCCTCCTCATACACTGTCCTCCTCATACACTGTCCTCCTCATACACTGTCCTCCTCATACACTGTCCTCCTCATACACTGTCCTCCTCATACACTGTCCTCCTCATACACTGTCCTCTCATATACTGTCCTTCTCATACACTGTCCTTCTCATACACTGTCCTCCTCATACTGTCCTCCCATACACTGTCCTCCTCTATATACTCATCTCATACACTGTCCTCCCTACATCATATACTGTCCTCCTATATCTGTCCTCCTTACACACTCCTCCTCCCCATACACTGTCCTCCATATACTGTCCTCCTCATACACTGTCCTCCTCATATACTGTCCCTCCTCATACACTGTCCTCCCCATATACTGTCCTTCTCATACACTGTCCTCCTCATACACTGTCCTCCTCATACAGTCCTCCTCATACACTGTCCTCCTCATACACTGTCCTCCTCATACACTGTCCTCCTCATACACTGTCCTCCACATACACTGTTACCCTACTGCTCCTCGTTACTCATATTACAGAGAGTAGAAGCGACACATTTCTTAACAAATCTCAACCAATCATATAAAAGAGACAGAGGTTTATGGGGGAGACAAGTAAGAAAGCTGATCACCTGGAAATCAGATACCTCATATTTGTTTTCTTTGAAGATTCTCCACCCTAAGCCTAATAACCTAATCTAACCCAACCGCCCCCTCCCCCCTCCCAAGGTAGTGTTATGGTCGTTAATCTTCAGATAATCCGAGAGAAACTTCGTTCAATAGAAGCCATTTTTGTCAATGTGGGATAAGAAATTCGCAATGTTTTCTGTACCTTACTCCTTGGTTGTTAGTCCTTGAAGAGCACCACCAATCCCACTAATGACACACGTGGTGGCGAGTGGCTGTTAAGATACATTCAATCACTGCCTTTACCCGAGGATCATCCCATTCAGTCAACGATTCCGAAGCAGCTGCAGAAATTCAACATCAAAAATCCAGCCTCGTAAGGGAAGTGGAACGACGAGGACACTTCTAACCGTCCACAATTTCCAACACCAATTACTGGAAAAATATACTTTGGGTTGAAGAAGACTATCTCAGTAAATGTCCTCGACTGGAGTGTCAATTACTGAGGTCACTTCTTTTCTGGGGGTAAATAGTTATAAATTTATAGGAAAATTAGATGATCGTTGACAGGCTGTGGCAACGACTTGAGCTGAGAGCCGTTGAAGTGGCGGTGGTTCTGAGGGCTGTTGAGGAGGTGGTGGTGGTGGAGGTTCTGAGGGCTGTTGAGGTGGTGATGGTTCTGAGGGCTGTTGAGGAGGTGGTGGTGGTGGTGGAGGTTCTGAGGGCTGTTGAGGTGGTGATGGTTCTGAGGGCTGCTGAGGAGGTGGTGGTGGTGGTGGTGGGTCTGAGGTGGTGCTGATGGTGGTGGTGAGGTCTGAGGGCCTGCGGTGATGTGTGTTGTGATGGAGGCTGAGGGTCATGTCTGAGGCTGCTGAGTGATGGTTCTGAGGGCTGTTGTGGAGGGTATGTTTGTTGAGGAGGTTCCGAGGGCTGTTGAGGTGGTGATGTCTCTGAGGGCTGGAGGTGGTGGTGGTGATGGTGGAGGTTCTGAGGGCTGTTGAGGTGGTGATGGTTCTGAGGCTGTTGAGGAGGTGGTGGTGGTGATGGTGGAGTTCTGAGGCTGTTGAGGTGGTGATGGTTCTGAGGGCTGTTGTGGAGGTGGTGGAGGTTCTGAGGGCTGTTGAGGTGATGATGGTGGTTCTGGGGGCTGTTGAGGTGGTGATGGTTCTGAGGGCTGTTGAGGTGGTGATGGTGGTTCTGAGGGCTGTTAATAATGATAATAGAGGTGACAACGTACACTCCCGGGAAGAAATTAATAAGACCTTTACAAAATTGTCTTTTTAAAATCCTGATTCAAAGTTCGTTCAGAAGTTCACTTACTAAAAAATAAAATGAAAAAAATAAAACAGAAAAACTGACAAAAATTCTAAGTAAAAAAAAAAAGAATTGTGACAGTATTACAGGTGAGTTAACCTTCTGATGACGGTAACTTAATCACTTGAGTATGATGATTTAACCCCTTGAATACGACGACTTAACCCATTGAGTACGTAACCCCACAAACTACTTCAAAATGGCCACATACAACCACACGTACACTACCGCGAAAGGGCCACCTAATACAATCACACACGTACATAACCATGCAATCAAAGCCCCACACACACACACACACACACACAAATACAAAAGCTCACAGTGACCAAACAACAAACACACACTACCTCAAAGCGGACCACTACAACTACGCACATACAGACACACACACATACACCCGGACAAACAAACACACACAAACACACACAAAAGCTCACATCGGCCAAATACAGCCAGAGTAGTGATTCATGACCACCATAGCGTAGATAAGTTACCATTGTCGTCCACCTACACCGTGAATGACACACCCAGACCCCCAAGTACTGTAAACACAATGACGGTCGAGTGGGGGAGGCTTTCCTGAAAAGTGATGCATACGGATTTTTCTCTCTCTCTCTCTCTCTCTCTCTCTCTCTCTCTCTCTGGGGAATGACGTATTACTTCTCTTATTATTATCATCATTTTCTTTATTATCATTATATCAATATCCTAATTATCATCATCATCATCAAAGGGTATATATTTATTTACACCATTAGTAAATTTATCCTGAAACAATATAACATTATTAAACCAACCGTGTATGTTATGTAGTTTTTTTCTGATTCATTTACTGATTCTTCTTTTTTTTCATATTCATTCATTTACAAACCCTGTATTTCTTATTAAATATAGCAATCTCGTTTTTTTTATCCAATTACATAAATTTGTTGTTCTTATTTATTCATTTACAATTTTACAGGCACTTATTTTTTTGTTTTGTTTTATACTTTTTGTCAAATAAATTTATACTTAATTTTTCTTATTTAGACTCGATTTCATATTTATTTCTATACAGAGACTCGGTTTTTATCCAATTTATTTCTTCGTAGGTAGTGCGTGAGGTGGCAGCGTCAGGATCACTGGAGCAGAAGCACCTCAGGCCTTCCAGGGTGTAGCCACGGGAGGTGTGGTGCTTCTTGATACCAGAGGAGGGATGGCTGGCGAACTTCCCCGGCCAAACATAACGACATGGGGAGGGGAAATATACTGTATATCGAACACGGACGTCATGGCGCTATAAGGACAGATATATGGAGGACAAGGCGGTTATATACGAACATCATTATTGGACTTCTAAATATCTATTCTCCATACATAAATTCTATCCTATATACATACGAAAAAAAAATAATTCCAAAGGTTCTTACTGATTCCAACACCGTAACAATCAAGTAAATTCATTTCGTGGTTTCAAATACGAGTAGAAAAATTGATGGAAAATAAATACTTTTTTTTTTAAGGAAATCCCTCAGAAGTGAGAAGCTTCAGGTGAACCGAGTCTATTTTTAAATACAGCGAAATTGTATCCATCTGAATGAATGAGCTGCCTGTCTGTCTGTGTGTCTGTCTGTCTGTGTGTCTGTCTGTCTGTCTGTCTGTGTGTCTGTCTGTCTGTGTGTCTGTCTGTGTGTCTGTCTGTCTGTCTATATATGTATATAAGTATGTATTCGTCTGTTTACATTCTTATTCAACTTCTGTCTCCTAATCTTTCGATCTCCTCATTTATCTCTCTATCTTCTATTCACCTATTCACTTATGACACAAGACTTGACGGATCACCTGAAGATTAGACACCCCAGATTATTTGGACTTAGGTTAGGTTAGGTTAGCGTTAGCGTTAAGGTGGTTGGTTTATCTTCAGGTGATATAAGTTAGGGTGTCCAATCTTCAGGTGACTCGACTTGAATACGAAATTAACGAAGGTGAATGAAAAGAGGGAAGAAGAAATGGAACGTGGATGGGATATATCTGGAGGAGAAGTAAAGAGTGTGTGTAGGAAAGAATGAAATGAAAGCATGAATAGAAAAAATTGTTAAATGATGATGAGCGGAGTTGAAGATGGGAGAGAAAAGTGTGTGGGGAGGAGTGAAGAGTGTGTGGGGAGGAGGGAAGAGTGTGTGGGGAGGAGGGAAGAGTGTGTGGGGAGGAGGGAAGAGTGTGTGGGGAGGAGGGAAGAGTGTGTGGGGAGGAGGGAAGAGTGTGTGGGAAAGAGAAGACGACAGAGTGCGTCTGCCAAGCACGTCAACACACTGACCGACCCCGGGGGGCTTACCACACCAGACAGGTCGTAATACTGTTCTTGTTACGTTGATTGAGGGAGAAAGAGTTCATTCGCCGTCTTTCTCAGTCTCATCTCCGTAGAGTCTGAGAAATATGGCTTGAGAGTTCATAAACAAGTGAGCTGTGACACCCCCTTAAATTACAGTGCTATTTTTTTTTCATTTAACTTGAGACACGAATGACAAAAATACTGACAAACAAGATTCATATCTGAGTAAAATATCACAGTTCAGGTAAATAATTCATTGTCTGGGTCAACGTAATAAATAAGTAGGTATCTAGAATGCACATCAAGCCCCCCCCCCGCTCCCCCCGCTCCCCCCACCTCACTCCCCCCAAAAAATTACATTGACTCATCATTAACTCGTTTTAAAAAGTCTGTCTAGTAATATGAAATTCTTTCATTAAGTAAAATCTAATTAATACGTCATAAAATTCACAAACAATCATACAATAAAAAGGTTAAAGATCATCTCAGTTTTGTTTTCAAAAATAAGGTTTAAAACTACAGTCGCCTGAATTTTTCACTACGATTAAATTACCTGACATTTATAACAAACTCTAGATTGTAAGAACATCGTAAAAAACCTATGATGAAATAATGTTGTCAAGTTTTTACATTAAAGAATATAACAATGATACTCGTGAAAAATTTGTTTATGATAATAATATAATTAATTATAATAAAATTAACAGTGGTAAAATCCTGATTACAACTACACCTATTTCATCCTATTAGTCTCTCTCTCTCTCTCTCTCTCTCTCTCTCTCTCTCTCTCTCTCTCTCTCTCTCTCTCATCATTTCAGTTCTCTCCCCACACCCACTCCTCTACCTTCCCCTTTCCAGCACCCCCTCACCCAACTCTTTCTTTTGCTCCCTATATGATAATTCCATCCAATTTTTCGTCACCGTCAGCCCCGGTAAGACTCGTCAAAAGACTAACTAAATCACCCAATAAAGACCCAGAAAAAAGTCTCCACTACAAAGACCCTCAAAAGACCCCACCACAAAGATCCCTCCAAAAAGAACCCCCCCAAATAAGACCCCCACAAAAAGTCCCCACCACAAAGACCCCACCAAAACATCCTACCCCAAGACCCCAAGCAAAAGACCCACCCAAAATACAAACGGAAAATTTCCTCTAAGCCAAGTGAGGATGGAATTTACAGACGCATTTGTCGTCTGGTGGTGGTGGCACGTGGCAGCTGGAATCAGGAAACGATCTCCGAATTTTTTAGAAAAGTGCGCGGGTCGGCAGAGTGAGAAATCTAAAATTGTAGCAGAGAACACCGGGGTAGACAAGACGACCCTCCTCTCACTTCTCTACCTCCCACCCTCTCATTTCCTCCCTCTCTCCTTCCTTCTCTCATTTCCTTCCGCTTTCCCTCTCTCATTTCCTGCTACCCATGTACCCTCCCTTCTCTCCCGGATGGTTTTGGTGGTCGTCAAGGGCTGATTATTTGTTAGTCAATGAGCAGTGATTGTGAGTCATTATGAGTCGTCGAAGGCTGATTGTGAGTCATCGAGGAGTGATTGTGAGTTGTCGAGGGCTAATTGTGTTTCTGACCTTTACACAGATTCGGGGAGTACAAACAAACACCCCCTCTACACACACACACATACCTTAATCCACCAGAGGACATCGGGTACCAACCCACCCTGGATATACGTGTTTTTTGCCATTAATAATACAACACTGACTCTCAAATGCCCCCCCAACTGCTGTCTCACACACCTTAGCATCAATATTTCATCCAATGCATGAAAAAAAAACTCACTTAAAAGAGGGTTTCGTGTTGCCAATGATAATATTGATGGTAGAATATATTAGATCACAAACACTGTAATTAGTAAGCATTGTATTTAACCTATACCGTGATACTCAGGTAGAATGTCTGTTTTACTAGTAACGGTGAGTGTTCCAGGGAGGCGGTGGGGAGAGGAGGCGGTGGTGGGGGAGGGGAAGTGGTGGTGGGGAGGGGAAGTGGTGGTGGTTGTGGTGGAGCAGAGATAATGGTGAGAAGATAATGGTGGTTGTGGTAAAAGGTATATCATGTCCCATTACACAAAAGGTCAAAAAGCGCCCGCCCGTCACTTTACCTGTTCAACCACACCAACATACAATCAAAACGTATTTCATATATCACAGCTGAATGAGAGTAAACACCTTCTGTACACCGTGTGATTTACCGTGACTGCTGGATGTTGTGTCCAGGTCTCCATGTCCCGTCAATATGTGCCTCATGACAGACGTGGCGTGGTGGTGGCGTTAGTGGCCAATATGATGGTGTGGCAGCTTTACAACACAAACAACTCATGTCTCGGTTGGATATATTTCACCTCATGATTTATGGTATAGTGTTATTTTATCTGTAAACCCACATGAGTACGGATCAGGACAGAGGCCAATTTCAACACTTCCTTTGTAATGTTCAAACGACAGGGATGATTTTGCTCGGTGGTAATTCATTAGAGGTTTAACTGGTCATAAAAGTCCTTGTATTGTATCAGGTTATCCGTTCCTGAATACAAAATGTCGTTTCTAATCCATAAATTCAGTCAATCTTCGCGGGTCGAAATGCAATTTAGTTACCTGGATCTAGCCATGAATACCGGAGTAGAGTTCATTAATGGGGTTCTTGAATCATTATTTACCAGATCTATCACATTGGCTTCTATTTGACTCAAGAATTTCAGTAGGAGCAAACATCACCTTGACTGACTCTAGCAATGAGCACTGTACTGCACATTGCACTCTTACACTCTTATGGCAGATATATCAAATGGCTTCGTGTGTATGGTGACATTTAACAAATATGAACAATATTTAAAGCTGGACAAAGCTGCAAATTTCTCACCTGTATATTTTACCTGTCATTAATCAACCATATAAAATTGATAAAAATTTTGAAAACAATTTGTATTTTACAGTCATATATCTATTGTGACTTTACGAAGATATTTATCGGTTACATCAAGGGACGAGTAGTGGATAATATTAAACCATTCAACATGACCGATACCTTTGACTCTCCACATGACCTTTGACCTCATGTACAATTAACACAAAGTAACGAAGATTATATATGTATTCAGTTTGATAGGCAACTAAAATTTCAGAACACACACACACACACACACACACACACACACACACACACACACACACACACA